ACTAATTATGTTAATTAAATTTGGTTTTTGTTTCAAGCAAATGTGATTTGATAATGATAGCTTGTATTACGTTGGCGATACTCGTCGACACACACTTCAAATTATCAAATTATTAAATTAAAATATCGACAAGAACACAAGAGGTCTCCAAAACAATCAAACTTTGACAATAATGTGTTTTATTTGATTTAAGAAATTTTAAAGCGTGTCCTATGTACAAACATCTATCGCTAGCATGCAGAACACAGATCGATAGAGGAATAAGATTTGAGTCATCACCAGAGAAAATGAGATGATTATGTACTTACAAATTGTTCCCGGAGACTGTCCTGGTTATACGACCGAGTGTCTCGCCGACATTCTGATAACTGAATGAGAAACCCAACCGAAAGTAAAATAAAAGTCAATACTTCTATGTATGGAGAACAGAAGAACAGAAGAAGTGGAGTATCAGCCCGTAAAAGAGACGAAAAATAGAGAGCAGAGGTGAACATAAAGATAGAAATTAGCAAGAGAAAATTGAAAAACATACTTCGTGCATTTTTCGTCGATAAATATTTCGTGCAACGAATTTGAAGATATTTCGCAAGCCTGCCACGATGTTTCATCCACTTCCCTTTACATAGAAAATATGACAAAGCGTACAGAGTGTATATATAAAATGTACATAGATAAGAGAGATGCAAAGAAGCGAGTAACTTATAACACACATACACGTGGCTTTCCTTGACATTTTTGAGACCCTGATTAACATCGTCGGTGAGCTCTTTCCAAACGCTGATACCCAGCTTCCTCTTCAGATCCTGCGAAACCTTGATCTTGTTAGCGAGGACGTGTCTCAAAGTCTGTATTTCCTCTTCGACCTAAATCAAACTATGTTATTCCTCGTCTTCAAGATTGTCGATTTTCCGAGACTTACTTTAGCTAATTGAGCGCTCCATTCAGCTTTACGTTCTTCTTGCTCCTCCAAGGTGAGTCCTTGAAGCTCGTTTGTTACACTATCCGAGGGCGATAGAGATCCAGCCGAGTGAAGCGAGGCGTCTTCTCCTTGGACAAAGAAAACAGAAACATTAGCCACAGTTATACGACACTAAGATATGCTGACTGGTCGGAAGTATATTTTCTTGACAACAAGTTGTTTATCACAAATAAATAATTTATTATCTATGTTTAAATATATATATTTCTCTTTTTATTTTTATTTTATTTATTTATATTTGTATATAAAAATAATTTTACAATTAAATTAAAAATAAAAATCGAATTAAAATTTAAAATTAAAATCAGAAAATTAAGATTGAGTAATATAAATAGAATATATTATCTCATAAAAAAGATATAAATAACTTATACTATAAACTTATTGGTCTTTCAATCTATCTAATTCATCAGTATTAAATCTAACTAACTCATCGATCTAGGCTAAGATAGTTGCTGAGGTTGTTGAACGTCATAAAACCAGTTATAAGTACATATAAAAAAAGTCGAGCAGCTCCAAGTAATTTGTACAAGAGAGCGCTCTTCAGATATTTTTAGAGCAATGTAGATTTATTTTTTTCTCTTTTTACGATATTTTTTAAATTAAAACTTCTCAAATTAAATATTCTTTTTATTAAATTAAATATTAATCTAAATTGAAAAAAAAAAAAAAAATTTTTTTTATCTAAATAATAATTAAAAATTATGTTATAATATTTCAAATGTTTTTCCTCTGTTTAGATTGAATAAATATTTTTGTATTAACTTTAATTTAATGTTTAATATTCCATATTATTTCTTTCATTTTTAATACAAAATGGCAAAAATTGGAACTTGATCGATCATAATTTTTCGATCAGGAAACGATTGCTTAAATTCCGAATAAACACGACTGTGTTTCGTCAGATTGAGAAAAAATGCGCAGAGTTTCGCAGTTTCAACAGAGCGAAACGTCATTCGAGAAAATTGAAAGCATGCTTTGCTCGATCACGATTCTAGCGAACTCTTTTTTGTACATTTTCACACGTAAGGAAATAACTCGATATCGAGAAGCAACTGGAAAGCAACATAAAAACCGCTAATTTTTCACAATAAAAGATTATAATAAGAAATATTTCGTAAATTTGAAATCCGCGAATGTATTTTAAAAAAATTCCATAAATTCAGAAAATCTAGAGTCATAAAAAGCCAAAAATCAGTGTAAAAATTGATTAGATTTAAGATCGATGAACAAAATCTTTCTGATATAAAATATCTTTGATAATGTAATGTCTTGATGAATTCAAATTTATATTAATAACAATGTTCAGTAATTTGATCAAATAATATTTCTAAGAACACACATATAATCTTATTGAGCGCAATAATTTTCTCGATTAATTAAACAAATAATTCCATTATTATCTTTTATCTATTAAAATATTCGATTATTTATCTACTCTATAATCTCGACTAGCCGAAATTCATTCGCTCGATATTCAAGAAATTAATTCCACAATCCGCCAAAGATTTTGTCGAGAAACAGCCTATCAAATTATCGACAATCGTCCTAATCTTCACGAAAAACCTTTGAGCGAAGTCTATAACGAGCTCTCTTTATCGGAAATCATGAGATGCTGCTAAAGCAATCTCTCATCTCTTCTCCGAGCACCTTTTACCAGCTCCAGGAACCTCTTGTAGTTCTGACTGTTGCTAATCTTGGCGAGGTAGGGCTTCGAGAGGTCCTGGAAGATCACGCGGATCGATCTCCTCTTCTTCTTCTTGGCTCTTCCGTCGTGCGAGCCCGCTTCCGGCGGAAGTTCCGCCTCCAGGTTGCCGTCGTCGACGACAATCTCGTCGATCTCGCCGTTCGAATCGCGCCAGCAGTGGATCACCAGTTCGTCCACCTCATCGTCATCGAGCTCGTCGATGTCGTCGAAGCTCGGCGTCGTCGTCAGCTTCGAGTAATAAACGTCCTCCTCGTATTCCAGCGACTCGAACTCGCGCTCGTTCTCGCTCGGACAGTCCTCTTCGGCGTGTTCTTGACAGACCCTCCTGTGTCCTTCGTTGCTTCTCGTGTTCGCGGATTGCTTGGGGCTCGCCATGTTGCCTCGCATGATTCCTCGGAAGATTCACGAAGAGTTTTTCGTCCCGAAATTCTGCTCCAAAAGCTTGATCCCGAGGAATACTTGGCAGAAAGTTCGTCGAAACCTTATGTAAAATTAATTAAATTTATATCCGCGTAGAATATAAATTTAATGTTAGTTTATTCAACATTGTTTTTTGAATCTGTCACAATTTTTATATAACTTTAGTCTTGTGATTTATCTATTGTAGCCTGATGAGGGGCCAATACTGTGGTCGAAACGTAGCTGACAAATAAAAAATATGATATTGAAAATTAATTAAAAATATAACATCCTTAGCCAGTTGGTCGATTTAATACTATCTAATCTTGGTTTTTATTTTTACTGGCGATCAAACCTTTTTACTTTATTTAAAATGTAGAGATATAATACTCGATACAAGGAACTATGTATTTAAATAGTTTTATTTACACATTTATTAGAAACAATATTTTTTTCATGACAAATCAATATTATTAGTTTCAAATAAATAGTGTATTATAAAAGGCTATTTGAATAATTAAATAATTTTTTTTTTCAGTGTACGAAAGTTTGTTGAAAGCTTCAAAATAAATAGATAATAATTGATGAATTTAAAAATATATAGATTCAAAAATTGCACTTCGAGATTTTGATCCAAAAAATAATTCAAAAGATATATTGAAAGTCTCCGAAGATAATCATGTTGAAAGTTCTAAGAATAAATATAATAAATGTAGATTTAATAAATATAGATTAAATATTACGATAATTTGCAATTTATTCTTTTCTTTAACAGATCTTGTTAGCAATAACGATGATGAGATTAAGTAGGTTTTAATTTGCATGATTTCTCTTTATAATTACTTCGGAGGAAAAAATTGTATTTTCTGCATCAAGAATTTTTTCAGTAATTATAAAAATGTTACATATGTAAATATATAGCAAATATAAGTAGATATTTTTATCTTGTAGTTCGAGTATTATTTGTAAAAGATTCGATTCTTTCCGTAGAAAAATATATATTTATAATTATTGTTTCAAATTTTATGCTCAAGCTAAAATTCAAATACAGCGTTCTAGATTTGCAAGGACAATTTATATAAAATACTCTTTTTATAAATATTATTTAAATCGTAGAAAATTAAATTTGATTATTAGATTCGGATTTTTAAGTACACATTAAACTTGATCCCATCCTTACTAGCACGTCAAATTGCTCTAAAATACTTCTTTAAAATTCTTCAAAATTTTGCTTTATTATCTCTTGCTTATTCAAATATACTTATACATTTTATAAATAAATTGAAAATTGTCTACAATTTTAATTAGCAAGTTGCCCCAAAATATTTTGTTTAAAATTCTTCTAAATTTTGCTCTGTTGTCTTGCTTTAAATATATTTATACATTTTATAAATAAATTGAAAATTGTCTACAATTTTAACTACCAAGTTGCTCCAAAATATTTTTTAAAATTCTTCTAAATTTTGCTCTATTGCTTCAAATATACTCATACATTTGATAAATAATTGAAAATTGTCTACAATTTTAATTAGAAAGTTGCTCCAAAATTTTTAAAATTCTGTAAAATTTTGCTCCATTATCTTGTCTCAAATATACATTGTACATTTTATAAATAAAGCAAAAATTGTCTATAATTTTAATTTCGCATATATGATTTTGCACTTTGTACTTTGCATATACGCATGCAATCACAACAAAATGTTGTATCACGTTCGAGGACTACACTATTACACAGAATTCACGGTAATTAAAGAATTAAAAAATTAGAGAAATCTCGACACGGAAATCTGTGAATCGAGAAATTCGGCGCAATTAAATTCCGCATTCATGATTAAGAGATCACAATTAATAGACACTCACGTTTCACCGAAAATCACTAAAAAAATCGAGTAAAATCACTAGGAACGACAATTTCGAAGGTTCGTTCTTTCCGGAATTGATTCCCGGATCTAACATTCGCGGATTTAACAATTAGATATTACTTTGTTAAATCCGCGAATTCGCGAGACGAATCCCCGAAAAGCGACCACGTGCGCACTCACGGCTGTAAACAGCTGTTATCTGTCAAAGAACGACGCGAACGCGAGGACAAATGTTTCGGAGAAATCAAGACGCGAGTCCTCACTCTGCTTTAATGGAAAATGGAAGAAAGAAGGGGAAGAAGTAAGAGGGATCGACAAGTGGCCTCGGTTCAAGTCGGTTCTTCAGAAGAAGGAAAGGCTCCCAGTAGCGGCTTCTAAACGGGTCCCATATCGCGTAAACACAAATTTTGAGATACTTTATTTCAGTTATTGATTTTTTTATATGTGACGATCGATATTTTTGCGTTCGATTCTTTCATCAGATAATTGATTTTCTCGGCAATTTTTATTATATTTGGAGCGCAATTGTAGCGAACGGATTTTTTTAATTAGCACTAATTAGGAAATCCTCGTTAATTTCTACCAACGCAACTCTCTGAACTCGACCGACTTTATCGAGAATTATTCTCTAAGCAATATTATTCTTGATATACTTGTTATGTTTAATTTAATTCTTGTATCGATAAATGGAAGAAGCAACTGATACAAAAAAATAATTGAATAATAATTATCTAATGTAAAATAATAATAAAATCTAATGTAAAATTAAATTTTATTCTATTTTATTACAATAAGAAAATTATGAAATTAATAAATATTCATTTCAATACTATCTCATAAATTATAAATCATTTATTTGAAACAAATAATTATCTGTTCTGAAAAGATTTTCTTATATCAAACAAATATTTTTTCACATCAAATCAATATTATTATTAATTTCAAATTAATTATTTATAAGGCAGTATTGAAATAAATATTTATTCAAAATTCCATAAATTTTCTTCAGTGTTCAAAAACAATTAAATAATAATGATATAATGTAAAATTTAAATAATAATCTATTATACAAAAAATAATTAGTTACTTAATAATAATGTAATATAAAATTAGATTTTATTTTGTTACATAAAGATTTTATTTCCGCATTATTATTTCATATTATTATTGATTGTACGTTTTTATTTAATTGTAAAATAAAAAGATAAATGTTAAAAATGTGTTTCAGGGAATTTTTCTCGAAACAAAAACTACAACTTTTGTATTTGAAAATCTCATCAAATATAATGAAAGAATGTTTGATAAAAAATTATCACTGTGCAATATATCGAAAACATGCAATTGATATCCAGGTATTAAAAGATGAAAAAATTTGCATTGACACACTGAAAAAAAATTATTAAATTAATAAATATTTATTTCAATACTGCCTAATAAATAATTTATTTAAACAAATAAATATTATTAATTTTATATAAATAATTTATTTGACAGCATTAAAAAAATAAAATACTTATTTTAATTTTTTTTTCAGTGCAGAAGAGTTAACTAGTTACGATTCAGTGTTCTAATTGGTTTGAATTGGGCCAAATAAGATAGTGTCATGGCAAAAAGTGAGTGCATTGTCTCTTATTTTCGCGATCGATTATTATGAAAGCGCGGAAGAGAACGTGGCATACAAAGACGTCTAATATAATAAAAGTTTCTAAAACTTCTCGCACTGAGAACCTTGAGAGAAAACCGGTTTATCGATTCGACCCAACAGCGGATTCTCGTCTGTGCTTAGCGACGTGTGTGTGTGTTTAGCAATAAAGACGGTTGTTGCATTTTTAATCTTTCCAAAGGGTTAATGTATTTTTTTTTTTTTTTTTTTGCGAGGAGATAACATCGACGCGAATATCGGATGAAGACAGAACAAAATTCCTTCTAACGAGTGTTTACGATAAACTGGAACAAATAAAAGAAAACCATCTTTGATTGAAGATTGTTCTCTTGCTTAATATATATTTATTTTCTTAATTAATAATTATTATCTTGATTTCGAAGAATTATTTTTCAAATTTGTTTCTTATCTTTAATGACTCACAATCAGTATCTTATCTCAATTTTTCTTCATACATATATGTAAATTTCTAAAAATCGATATTAAAATATAGAAAAAATATAAAATTAAAAAATAATTTAGAATATGTGAAGAAAAATAATGAAAAACAATGTATGTTAAAAAATCAATGTGTTGCGATGAAATTCTATCCAAAGAAGAGTCAATCAACACAAGTAAATGCAGCAAATCGACCTTAATTAATGCACTGTACCCGCATCATAAATGCAATCTATGCATATATCCATATATTTATACTCTTTTTCTCTTTTCTAAGTTGAAAAAAAAAAAATAAAAAACTAAAAATTGTTATAATAATTTTACACATTTAGCTATTTATATATATTTATACTCTATTTTCTCTTTTGAAAAAAAAAAACAAAAACGTAAAAATTGTTATAATAATTTTACACAATTTAGCTATCCTATATATAGTTATACATATGTCATAACATATGCGTTTAAAAATTAAGTACCAAAAGTTTGAAAAAAAAAAAAAAATAGATATTAAAATCTTGAATATAATAAAACCTTTGGTCTCTCGAGAATATAAACAAGTGTCAAATTAAAATACTAAAGTGTAGTTTTAAATCGATATCACGGCCATATGATTTGCGCAGAATTTTGCTGTCGGAATTGCCGGTCACGCACACATATGTACACGTAAACAGACGACTTACGGAAGTTCACAAGGTCGCTGGAAAAGTCAAACAGCGCATATAATTATAGGTTAGAATCCGATCGACCCCTTTTAAATTCGCTCGCGTTCGATAAATCCTCGTCACTCTCGACAATTGATTTATTCCGTTTTCTTATAAATAATATATAAAACGCATTTCTCGATCGGATCGAAGGATCCGATGGCGAGAGTCGATGATCTCACCTGTTGGCACATTACTCATGTTGATGATCTCGTGGCGTGGAATCTCGGGGCCAAAAAGTCGAACAGTTTTTCGATGATCCGTCGTAGAACCTCGATGCGAAGTCGCGATAACGAGAGCCCGTATCGGTTCACCAGGAGGCAAAAGATAATACGCGTTCTCCGATACGAAGAATATCAATCAGGCTTCGACTATGAACTAGCAAGACGGAGCGTTGCGCTTATTGGAAGCGCCGCCGCCGCCGTCAGCGCCATCTGGCGGCGCTTTAGAATTCTGGACTGTCAATTCGAGAAGGCAGCAAATTATTTTATAAAAATATATTACATATTATACATATAATATAATGCATTCTAATAATATATATATTGATATGATTGATTAATTAATATTTTGTTCTCATGTAGAAGTGAAAACTATATTTCATTTAAATACAGTAAAAGTATAAAAATTATATAATAGAAAGAATGACAAATTTTAACTACGCTATTAAAATTGCTAAGTATAAATGATAAATGATTAGTTTAGTATATTTTATGTTAGTATTATATAAAAATAATCTAAATCTATTTTTAAATTTGCAAGTAGCTGTGCAGTTAAATTTACAAGATTATTTATAAAAAACTTAAGGGAATTAACTTAGAAATTTTATTAATTTATATTCATTTCTCAAATAATAAAATTATATTTTTGAAATTTAAATAATTATGTATATAGCATGTATTTATTTACAGATATATTCGAGCGAAAATAAATATATTCATTAAAGTACAGAATTTGTCCAATCAATCGAAAACCGAGGATCTCTTCGTCCTGATTGGTCGATCGAGCGTTTCCTAGGTGAATATATTTTCGAACACAATCTAGAATGCTGCTGCCTGCTGCCCTCTAGTGCACTTTCGCAATTAAATGTTCCCGCGCTTACGTCGGTTAAAGTACGAATATATGAGTACTAATTAGTGTCTTCGCGTCGTTAATTACTTTATTATCGTATAAATCCGATCGCGTCGCGTCTACCAACATCACGATCGCAACTGCATCCGCGCGAAATAAATTAATAAATTGATCTCATCGACCGCGAATCTCGCTCAAGGTTCAGTCCCTCGAAAGCGCGTGACGTCAGCTTCGACATGAGTCGTCGAAAGTTTGCGCGAACGAATTTACGTGCGTGGATCGCGAGAATTTTTGGAGCTTTTTGACGTTGTCGATTTAATGTGGGAAGTTACGCGATGAATTAGTCCCGTAATTTTTTTCATAAAAATTGACAGTGCGTGAAAAATGTGACAGCTATAAAATCCAAACATCGCGAACGAAACAAAAGAAACGTGAGTGCAAGTGTTTCGAAGCTTCTTCTACGAAGACAATTTTTGATGTAGAAATTGGTTTCCTACAGAAAAAGGGCGTTATTAAAATTAACAAAATATAATTAAGTTAGAATTCCGATTAACACATTTTGCAGTATTTCTATGTCTACTAAAAATATTAGTAATAAGTGCCGAATTAGATTGCACAATTTAAAAGTTATGTAAAATAATTTAATAAATATTAATATTAAAATTAATATTTTATTTAAATACTTTATTGAAATTAAATGTGGATTTACACAGAAAGAGGAAGGAAGATAGGGAGGAAAAAAAAAAGAGAGAGAAAGAGAGAGAGAAGAGAGAGAGAGAGAGAGAGAGAGAGAAGAAAGAAAGAAAGATTGTGTTATGTGATTTATTGTAAACTAAAAAATGCTAATCAATCACAAATTTTATATAATAACATTAATTAAATGTAAAGATATTTTTAATATTGAACATATAAGCACATACAATATATTAGTTATATATATAACTTTATAACATATTCCAATTCTTATAGTTTATACAAACATGTTTTATATATATATATATACAGATATAATTATTTATTTATATTTTATTGTCGTATATAAAAAGAAAATTATTAAATTAAGTTATTATATATGTATATATAATAAAAATTATATAAAATTATTGTTATGTATTTGAGATGTATATGGAGAGTTGCGCGCCGCGAGGTAAAGGAGCCTAATCGTGACACCTTTCGGCGTTATCGTTCTAGTTTACCCCCGAATATCGTCTAAAGCCCGGCTTTTAGCCGAGTCATCGTCTCCCGCTGTCGCAGAGACCAGGACAGGCGCGTAGCGAGCGGATGCTCCGTTTATAAGCTCCGGTTACTCCGATTGTGTTCTAACTAATAAATAGTTCTGTGGTTAAAAGTGTTCGAATCATTAACTCCGGTTCTCCTTCTCTCAAATATAATATTCGAATATACAAGAATATAACAGCTGGCGACGAGGATGGGATCCTAGTAGGCGTAGTGAAAATCAGCCACGTGGAATTCGTGGCGAGAGTTTTGCCAGAGCCGAATGGGCGACGGTGTTCGAGAAACTACGCAACAGAGGAAGTGATTTGCCGAGAAGGAGGAAATTAAGAGAAGATGCCGACGACGAGTTCAGGCTCAGGTACGCAAAGCCCGGTATCGGGACAAAATCCACCGGCAAAGGTAGCAATTGCAAACCCTTTGCAAGTCGATGTTTTCGACCCGCAGCGGCAGCCGTTAATTCGTTGGCTGCAGCGACTTGAAGGTGCCTTTCGAGTGTTTCAAATCTCGGAAGGCGCAGAACGTGTTGCTTACTTGCTACATTTCGTAGGCGTAGAACCGTTCGGGATTTTGTGCGACCGACTGGATCCTATCGATCCATATACTCAAACGTATGAGACGTTAATTGGAAAATTAAAAGAATTTTACGCGCCCGAGCCACTAGAGATAGCCGAGATATATATTTATCGGAAGCGTATGCAACGTACAGAGGAGACTGTCCAGGAATACATGGCGGCTCTCCAGAAATTATCGCTTCACTGCAAATTTGGAGAATATCTACCAATGGAACTACGGAATCAATTCGTATTCGGCTTAAGGAATCATCGGATTCAATCGAGGTTGTTGGAGACGGCGAATCTCACGAAGGACTCCGCATTAAAAATCGCATGCGGAATGGAAATGGCGGAGAAGGGCGTTAATAAACTAAAAGAAGAAAATCATCTATCGGAAACGACCGTTGACTACATTGGAGCTGGAGCAAAACAGAAGAAGACAAAGGGCCGTGATGATCGTACTGGAAACAGAGGAAATCAACAACAAGGGTCGAGGAAGGACGCAGCGACTTCGAAGCATTCCAATCTTGGCAAACATCATAAGTATACAAATAATAAGCGTTCGAACTCGAAAGTTAATGATATTGTTTGTTATAGGTGTGGTCAGGCTCATTTGGCGCCAAGCTGTACCCTTCCTCGGAACACTAAATGTAGAGAATGCGGAGGTTTTGGGCACCTCCAAAAAGTTTGTAAGAAGAAAGGGCAGGCCCACCTGTTAGAAGAGGTGTTCCGTGTGGATGACAGAGAGCATCTCGAGCACAGGGAAAAGTACACAGTTCCGCTTCAAATAGAAAGCAAGAGAGTGACATTCGACGTAGATTGCGGCTCAGCGGTCACATTGGTGAGCGATATATGGCGTAGAGAAACGTTTCCAAATTTAAAATTATATAATACGCGTTTGAAACTGCGCTCTTATTGTAAGAAAAATTTCGTGCCTCTCGGATTTATTAAAGTAAAAGTCAAAGATATAAATGAAAATAAAATATTAAATATGTACGTGGTTAAATACGATCGAGATCCATTGTTGGGCCGGGAGTGGATTAATCAGTTGAAAATGTTAAAGAAAATTAAAGATAGTCTCTTAGAAATAGAAGACGTGCATACTCTCGACGCGTCCGGGCAAGAACGGTTGGCTAATTTATTAGAAAAATATAGAAACGTACTAAGTGACGAATTTGCAAATATTAATAAATTTCAAGCTCATCTAAAATTAAAACCAAATGTAAAGCCTGTATTTATAAAAAATCGTGCGGTACCCTTTAAAATTTTAGAAAAAGTCGAAAAAGAATTAGAAAATATGGTAAAAGCAGGCATCTTGGAAAAAGTCGAGTCTTCGAATTGGGCAACGCCAATCGTACCGGTTTTAAAAAAAAACGGCGGAATTAGAATTTGCGGTGACTACAGTATAACAGTCAATCCGTCTTTAATTATAGATGAGCACCCCTTGCCCACAATGGAAGAATTGTTCGCATCTATGTCGGGAGGCACGATTTTTTCAAAAATAGATTTAAAACAAGCATATTTGCAGTTACCGGTCGCGGAATCTGATAGAGAGATTTTAACATTAAGTACACATAAAGGTCTATATAAATGCAACCGATTAATGTACGGAGTGGCATCTGCACCCGCGATATGGCAAAGGACAATGGAAAATATACTGTGCGGAATACCCGGGGTGGCTATATTTTTAGATGATATTAGAATTGCCGGTAAAGACATAAAACAACACTGCGAGAGATTAGAACTTGTTTTGAAAAGATTATCAGAATATAATATTCGCATTAATGTAGAGAAATGCGCTTTTCTTAAAGATAAAATATCCTATTGCGGATATATAATTAGCAAAAACGGAATTTCAAAAGAACCTAAAAAAATTGAAGCAGTCCAAAAGATGCCAAGGCCAACTAATACGACGCAACTTCGCGCTTTTATTGGATTAGTAAATTACTACGGACGCTTCATCGAACATTTAAGTGATAAAATGTACCCGTTAAATAACCTGCTAAAGAAAAATGTAAAATTTAATTGGTCGAAAGAATGTGAGACGGCTTTCAGAAAAATTAAAGTAGAATTCGGAAGTAAAAAAATTTTAGTGCCTTTTAACCCAAAGTTGCCATTGATACTCGCTGTGGATGCCAGTCCGTACGGAATAGGTGCAGTCCTTTCACACATGTACCCCGATGGTACAGAACGCGTAATTCAATACGCGTCAAACACATTAAATGAAACGCAAAAGAAATACGCGCAGATTGATAAGGAGGCTTTTGCAATTGTTTTCGGGATTAAAAAATTCCATCAATTTTTGTATGGAAATCATTTTACGCTTTTAACGGATAATAAGCCGTTGGCACAAATTTTAAACCCGCAAAAAGGCCTTCCGGCATACAGTGCACTGCGCATGCAGCACTATGCCGTGTTTTTGCAGGCTTTTAATTTTGATATAAAGTATCGTAAATCCATAGATCATTGTAATGCAGATGGGTTCTCACGATTGCCCATACAAGAGAAAAGCGTAGGAAAATTCGACGTAATTGATGTATTGCAAATGGAAAACGTAGAAACATTACCGGTAACTGCAAAAAGTATTAGAGATGAAATAAATAAAGATGCGTTATTATTAAAAATTCGTCAAACCTTGATAAAAGGCAAAAGTTTAGTTCCGCTGGGTTATAATGATGGCGAGTTTGCGTTGCAGGATGGTATCGTGTTTAGAAAAGAGAGAATAGCTATCCCGAAAAGCTTAAGAAGTAAAGTATTAAAAGAATTGCACGCAGGGCATTTTGGAACGGTAAAAATGAAAAAACTTAGTCGAAATTTTTGTTGGTGGCCAAAAATAGACAAAGAAATAGAAGAAATAACTAAAAATTGTAAAGCATGTGCCACGTTTTTAAATAATCCAAGAATCAAAGTTAAACACGCCTGGGAAGCGGCGTCAGAACCTTTTGAGCGCGTACATATAGATTTCGCGGGGCCGTTTATGAGCCACACTTTTCTAGTATTGGTCGACTCGTACACAAAATGGCCTGAAGTTCACATTGTAAAAAACATGTCCGTCCAAAACACGATAGAAAAATGTAGGGAAATATTCGCAAAATTCGGATTGCCACGAGTCCTAGTGTCGGACAACGGGCGAACATTTATTGCAGAAGAATTCGAAAATTTTCTTAGAATAAACGGAATATACCATAAGCGCACAGCACCCTACCATCCTGCTACAAATGGTTTAGCGGAACGTTTCGTACAAACGTTAAAAAAATCACTACGAAAATTAAATATTAGTAATGGCAACATTAAGACCAATCTACAGAAATTTCTATTTCAGTATAGAGTAACACCTCATGCAGAATTAGATAAATCTCCGGCGGAAGCCATGTATAACCGTAAATTAAGAAGCAGATTGGACTTAATGTTCCCGAAAACTAATAAAGAAATTGAAATGGAAAATATAATAGTTGTAAGAAATTTTAAAGAAGGCGAAAGAGTCGCCGTGCGAGAATATTTAAACAAAAACGTAAAATGGCGATTTGGGAGAGTATTAGCTAAGCTAGGGAAATTACATTACTCAGTTAAATTAGACAACGGAAAAATTTGGAAACGTCACTCAGATCAAATAAGGAAAATAGGAGAAAAAATTAGTGCCCCGATTGATGAGGCGAATAACCTTGGTGAGGCTGACCATTATGGTCCAGTCGAGGTAGCACGGGATGTTCTAACTCCAAGCGATAACGAGCAAGCGAAAACTGTGCACAAAAACTCTGACCCTGCCAGCTCGAGTTGCTACTCCGAAAATCCCAATACAACGGAATCCGAGGAAGGGGAAGCTGCAAGAGCCGACGACACACGCACGCGTAAATCAAAAATAAGTTTGGAACAAAATGTAAACGAAAACAATGAGGGCCGACCTCAACGTTATAGAAAACCGCCTGATAGGTACGGTATATATATTTAACACAAATTTAAAGTGTATACAAGGAAAATTATATATTAGTTTTAAGTAAAATTGTAGCTGCGAAATTATGATAAAATTGTTAAGACACTCAGTTCAATTTCACAGGGGGAAGAGCTGTTATGTATTTGAGATGTATATGGAGAGTTGCGCGCCGCGAGGTAAAGGAGCCTAATCGTGACACCTTTCGGCGTTATCGTTCTAGTTTACCCCCGAATATCGTCTAAAGCCCGGCTTTTAGCCGAGTCATCGTCTCCCGCTGTCGCAGAGACCAGGACAGGCGCGTAGCGAGCGGATGCTCCGTTTATAAGCTCCGGTTACTCCGATTGTGTTCTAACTAATAAATAGTTCTGTGGTTAAAAGTGTTCGAATCATTAACTCCGGTTCTCCTTCTCTCAAATATAATATTCGAATATACAAGAATATAAATATAAATAGTATAATTCACAATAATAATTTTTAGTAACTAGATAAAAAATGTTATTGAAATACCGCAAACGAAAGTGCAATGGAAAGTAAGAGTAAGTCTGTGATAAAATAATGGCAATAGAAAATTAATAATTTCAATAGAAAAAATTTCGAAATACCGAGGATTTACAAATAATAAAAGTAAAAATATTAAATACATTATTGTTTCGAATTTTGCTTCGCGGAAGGATCTTTAAACAAGATTTTTCGAAGAGAGGACCGTTAAAATATAAACAGGCAAAAACGTTGGAAAATTAAAGCGCGCGTTTAAAACAGATAAACGAAATGAAATAGAGACGCAATTGTTTTACTTAGTTCGCTGTAGCATCACAAGCTTCTGACGTGCTATACACTTTTTATATATATAACAGGGTGTCCGGTAACTAACGGACAAGATTAAGGGCGGATTCTCTGGCCAATTTGGAGGACGATTTTCCTTAGCAAAAATGTATAGAGAAGTCAATAATTTCGAGTATAAGCGATTGAAAAAAATAGGTTTTTTGAAAATTAAACGTGTAACGGCGTAGCCGTTACTAACGCCTCGCGGGCCGATCACCCGCCCGCCACTTGAGGCTATGGCGCCTAAGGCGCCCCTAAGCACAAATCATAACTGATACACGGGTCACCCTACCCCAGGGGCGCCCCACTACAACCCCCAGAGGCGCCCCACTACGACGCCGGCGTTACCCCACCACAGCCTCGAGGTAGAGTGGGGGAACCGCCGGCAGGGTATATAAGCCGGCTCGACGGATGAGCCGGCACCAGTCCTGTTCCGGACCTCCTAGCCAGGCAACGGGCTTCTCGTTGTTACGCCGGGTTTCCCGGTTTCTGGCCTCCTACCTTTAGTATCGGGCAACGGGTTTCTCGTTGTTACGCCGGGTTTCCCGGTTTCCGGTCTCTTCCTGCTACACGCCGGGCAACGGGTTTCTCGTTGTTACGCCGGGTTTCCCGGTTTCCGGTCTCTTCCTGCTACACGCCGGGCAACGGGTTTCTCGTTGTTACGCCGGGTTTCCCGGTTTCCGGTCTCTTCCTGCTACACGCCGGTTGACGGGTTTCTCGTTGTTACGCCGGGTTTCCCGGTTTCCGGTCTCTTCCTGCTACACGCCGGGCAACGGGTTTTGTTGTTACGCCGGGGTTCCCGGTTTCCGGTTTCTTTCTGCTCTAGGCTATACGCCTCCGGTTTCCGGTTTCTTCCTTTAAAAGTTATACCGGGTAATTTGTAAATCTTTTCCGGACACCGCTACAGGCTATACGCCTCCTTATTTTGTTTATACCGAGTAGTCAATAAGTTTCTCTATTTAGGGCTTTATGCCAACAAACATTTCGTTTATACCGAGTAGTCAATAAGTTTCTCTATTTAGGCTTTATGCCAACAATCATTTTGTTTACTTGTTTCTTTTTGAATAAACCAAAGTATTGTTAATAAGGAATAAGCGAGTCTGAATCTCCCCCTTCCTCCCGAATCCTGGAACCGGCGAGCCGATCCGCGGCGTCGGGAAAGGTGAACCGTTACATGGCGCCCGAACAGGGACCTGCCCAGTGGAGATCCCGACTCGCTTAAGCCTATCCAGATGCCCGCGTGGGTAAATCAATTATCAAAAACCGAAGCTATTGCCTTGGCCAAAAGACACGGAATCGATAGCCAAGGAACTTTAGACGAGGTCCGCCGACGCCTCCGCCGATTTGTCGGGCAAAACCCCGCGCTATTTCGAACTCACCTACCTGTGCCCACTATCAACGTCGAAATGGCCACCGGAAGCCCAACCAAAGACGAAGAAGCTACCACCCCGACACCTGTTGAACCAGCCAGGATCATGGACCAGATCCGAAAATGGGGGTGCCACTTCGAGGGCAAGGACCCCCTGGCATTCCTCGAGCGTACGGAAGAGCTGTGCCTGGGCTACGGCTACACCGACGCCCAGATGCTGTTAGGGCTACCCGAACTCTTACGGGGAGACGCCCTGCTGTGGTATCGCAACATCCGCGATACCATAGCCAGCTGGGCCGACTTTCGCCAAGCTGTCCGCCAGCAATACCTGCCAAGCGGGTATGAGAGACAGATGAAAAGGACGATCCAGGGACGTCAACAACGCCCTAAAGAGTCCTTCCAAAAGTACGCCACCGAGGTCCTGACCATGATGCGGCGCGCCGGGGGATATTCACCCCTAGACCAACTGGAACAGCTCTACGAAAACATGGATCCGGAGTACCAATTGTACATCCGTCGGGCGGACGTGCTCAGCGTCGGGGATCTGAGCATCCGAGCCACCGAATACGAAGAGGCCGACCGCCGAAGACAGGAACGACGAAGGGACGTGCCGCAAAGCCACACCCCGGTTGTAGCTTCCGCGGTCTACAGTCGGGAGGAATGTTGCTGGAGGTGCAAGCAACGAGGACATACACGCCTGCACTGCCAGCGACCTCCGAAGAAATTCTGCTCGAGATGTGGCAAGGACGGGGTCCTCACCCGTGACTGCCACCCCCCGACGGGAAACGGGGTGCGGGCCGGAGACGTCGCGGCCGTCGTCCAGCCCAACTCGGCCTAAAATACAACCCGAGACCGCACCTCCGGATCCAGATCGCCGGACAACATTTGTGGGGCCTCCTCGATTCCGGCTCAGAAATCTCATTCGTAAACGCTGAAACGGCCCGCCGAATCAACCGCACACCGTCTAGCCCAGATCTCAAGGCAGCCCAGATACGCCTGGCCGACGGGACGCAAGTCCCCATTGCCGAGACCATCGAAGCAACGGTCAGGTTACGAGGAAAATCGTACCGCCACCGCTTCTCCGTACTACCACAACTAGACAACGCCGTACTAATAGGCATAGACCTCTGGGCGAAATTAGGAGTCGAGCTGCGCCCGCCGCCCAGACCTGTCACCGAGACAACAACCAAAGATGGAATCGCGACAGCCAGTATCAGCCCAGGAACTACCAGCGAGGCGCTAAGGCTACAGGCCTTTCTAAATAACGAACTTCCAAAGTTCGAATCGGTCCGCGGCCCGACCGACAAAGCCACACACCAAATTCGGCTAAAACCGGGGCCGCCCATTAAACAACGATATCGGCCCCGTAATCCGGCCATGCAAGCCGTGATCGACCAAGAGGTCCAAAAGATGGAAGCCGAAGGAGTCATCGAGCCCTCCACCAGCGCCTGGAGCTCTCCGATAGTGCTGGCAAAGAAGAAAGACGGGACCTACCGATTTTGTATAGACTTCCGCCGATTAAACGCGGCCTCAGAAAAAGATGCATACCCGCTGCCTCACATTGCCGCCACCTTAGATAAGCTACGAGGCGCACACTACTTGTCCACGTTGGACCTACGCAGCGGGTATTGGCAAGTGCCACTAACTCCGGAGAGCCGCCCCGCAACCGCCTTCACGGTGCCAGGGAGAGGGCTGATGCAGTTCCGCGTCATGCCATTCGGACTGCATTCAGCACCGGCCACCTTCCAACGGCTGCTCGACACCGTGCTAGGACCCGAGTTAGAACCACACGTCCTCGTCTACTTGGACGACATAGTTGTCGCGTCCCGTACTTTCGAGGAGCACCTAGGCCACTTGGCCGAAGTCTTTCGCCGCCTCCGTGACGCCCGACTCCGCCTCAACCCAGAAAAGTGTCACTTCTGCCGGCCAAGTCTTCGGTACCTCGGACACGTTATCGATCGGCACGGAATCCGGACGGACCCAGAAAAAGTGCGAGCCATTACCGATTGGCCTGCCCCCACGACCCTCCGCAGGGTTCGGCAATTTCTGGGGGTAGCGTCATGGTACCGCCGATTCATCGCTGACTTCTCCACTATCGCCGCCCCTCTCACTCGACTCACTAAAAAGAGAGCGCGCTGGACCTGGGCAAAAGAAGAAGAAACCGCGTTCCGGAAACTAAAACAGGCCTTAACCACCGCACCTGTCCTCGCCTGTCCAGATTTTGCGCGACCATTTCTACTACAAACCGACGCCAGCGCCCACGGGTTAGGGGCCGTATTAACCCAACACCTCGGCGAAGGAGAGCGGGTTATCGCGTACGCCAGCCGGACCCTCAACGCAGCCGAGAAGAATTATAGCGCTACCGAACTAGAGTGCTTGGCTGTCGTGTGGGGTATACGCCGGATGCGGGATTACCTCGAGGGCTACCGATTCACCGTCGTGACCGACCACCAAGCTTTAAAGTGGTTACAACACATCGAGGCCCCTACCGGACGACTAGCCCGCTGGATGTTCGAATTACAACAACATGATTTCGACATCCAGTACCGGCGCGGGACACTTAACCAGGTGGCAGATGCCCTCTCCCGCCTCCCGGAAGCTTTGGCGGTGACCCGGCCGAAATGCCGGTGGTACCACCGTAAACTAGCCGAAGTACGGAGACATCCGACCGATCACCCGGACTATAAAATCCAGGATCAACGATTGTACAGGCATATACTCCACGATCTGGACTTCCGGGAAACACCAGCCGAAGAGCAATGGAAGCAGTGCGTGCCTACAGACCAACGACCCGCCCTGCTTCAGCGAATGCACGACGACCCGGCCGCCGGGCACCTAGGCATTTCCAAAACATTGGCTCGGGTGGCCCAGCTATATTACTGGCCCGGCATGTTTCGGGAAATTGCCCGGTACGTCCGAGGGTGCGCTAATTGTGCGCGGCACAAGGCCAGTCAACAACGACCGGCTGGTCGGATGATGGCCACCTCTGTCCGCGCACCATGGGAACAAGCCGCCGTAGACCTGATCGGTCCCCTGCCTCGATCCACTAGCGGCCATACCTGGCTATTAACCATACAAGACCGGTTCAGTAAGTGGATCGAGATGGTCCCGCTTAGAAAAGCCACCGCCGTAGCCGTAGCCCGAGCACTCACCGACCGCCTGATATACCGGCACGGGTGTCCGGTC